ATCACATCGTTTGCATAACTGGTTCAGCTTTCTGGACCTGCATGGGCCTTAAAAGATATGTGAGGGTAAGATATGTTGGTATGAAGAATAGTGTCCCAGAGAAGGTTGTATGTCCTGGGATATTCTAAAACTGGATTTGACAGTACAATCAGGAGTAATCCTGCACTGGAAAGAAGGTTGATTAGATGACTTTGTAGGACCCCTCTCTCTCCTAGGAGTATGCGAAGATGCTCTTGTTGTTTTCTCTAGGGCTATCTCTGGGACAATAACCAGGTGGTGGTGGAATGGCTGGAGAAACACTTGAAAGAAGAGGAGGGTTCCCGATCAGCCATTCGAGAAAACATCAAATATCTGAAACGGGATTACACCCTCAGACATATCCGGGCGTGAGTACATGGGGTGCTCTGGCCTCTTACTGGAGGAAGCTGGGTGTTGCTCGGTTTAAAGTAACTGAGTAGTATGTCTCCTGGGTATAAATGGCCACAATAGATGATTTCATCAAACCACAGTTTGAGTATAGTGTATAGATTATAAGATCTTTAGAGCAGAAGCTATCTTCCTGTGTGTTGTGTACAATGCCCAGTTCTCTGCCAGCAATTAAATGATGCCACCCTCCTCCTTTCCTTCTTTTGTCCACTGTAGCTTGGTTCAAGCAAACCCAGAGGTGGCCTTGGACTGCATGATTCACATGAGTCAGCACATCACCCGTGCACAGAGGGCCCAGATCACTCATCTCTTATCTACCATGGATAACGCCCCCCCTTCTTGACAGAGAGGCCACAGGTGGGGGTTCCAGGAGCAATCACTATAGACAAGGAAGTGCACAGAGAGAAACCACTCCTTTGAGACCAGATGTCTTCTTGCCTGCGTGTATTCGACCCTAGTTTTGAAGCCTTAGACTCTACTGATGTCTCTCAATAAATGATGCATTTGTTGCATTTTCTACCATGAAAATAGCCTTTCTGTGAACACCATGTTCATCCTGGACTTGTGGGGACAATTAAAAAACCAAATCCATTACAGTGGCATTTTTGTGGGATTTAAATTCAACCCAAATTGACCTCGGGAGCCTTGTCTCTAGCACAAAGCCGGTAGGGATGGGCCCCAGGGTCATTTTATAACTGAATTTAAAATCTTTTTTTTTTCTATTGTAAACCCAGTTCTTAACCATACAACGCTGAGATACATTTCATTAGAATGAATGGAGCTGGGAGTAGAACTCAAACTCTGTATAACAGCCGGAAAGAGAAATATTTTTGTACTAATGTTTATTGTTGCTGACCATCTGCCAGCATAAGAAGAAAATGTTATTTTTAATGAACAAGAGAAAACTGTGTTTTGGAAAAACATTCACACTAACCACAAGGAAACCATTGGAGATCCTCATCATTCCCCTGCTATGGCAGTGTTTAGTAGAGCTGATTATGAAATAGTTCTTGGAGCATGGTCAGGGATTCCGGGGAAGGTTTCGACAGAGCCATACATTTCAACCTGTCTTTCATTTTATTTGTGGTCAGGACACCAAGTTTGCAGCTGTTAACACAATTTTTGGTGCAGGATTTGTTAGAGTGCAGTTCTAACAAGGGAATGAAAAGGGGCATTTGAATTTTCCATCTCTTCTTTAATTGGTGTCCCCTTCCATTTCATATTGGAATTCTTTGGAATTATTCCAGTGTCTGCACCTGCATCCCGACCCACCCATGTACACTCTATTTGGAGTGGGAAAGGAAAGCACATATGGACCTGACCTTGTCAGTGGTTAACCTGACCTGATGAATTAGGGTAACGTATCACACACTTCAAACTATTTAGTTTAGTAAAAGCAATGATTTAGCTCTTACTGTGCCTTGTTCTATTGGGTAGCATTTAAGAAACCCATTTGCCTAATGTAACTGCAGAATAATGGTGATCCAGCCTTTTGCCATTTTAAAAATAAATCCTCAGGTCCAATATATCCTTCGACTGGGTTGCATAACCTCATGACAATATACGTACCATGTCTCACAGTAATCTTTAATCATAAGAATAAGATATGGCCTTATGGGAATAGAATTGGTTACTTAGTTTAAATACAGTGTTAAAGCCATTATTTGGCAATGTTACAGATCCCATCAGTTGATTTTAAACCAAATAATGACAAAACCAAAGAGACGCACAGGACAGTTACGCACACAGTGGGCTAGGGAATGTGTTGAAACAACTTACTATATGCAATGCCAGTGGTGAGGTTTTTCCAAAGAATGTATTGTGTATTTTATTGAGAGGAGGGCTGCAGGAGAGACTTTAAAAGCTCCTTGATTTGAAAGGTGTTACACGTGCACGAGTTTTGTCAGAGAGAGGAGGATGTGTTGTTAACAAAACTCACTGTATGGAAGGAGGATTGGAAAATCCAGCCCAAGTGCTCCAAATAAAATGACCACATTTTTCAGGGAGGATTCTGTGACTTCTTTTTCTTTGCCTTTACTAAATGCAGAGGTTCTATGACCTGTATCATCTCATTGCATTAAATGCGCAGAGCAGAAACACCTTCCAGCAAGTGGCATGGAGCTCGCTTTCCTGGAGCAATGTGTTCATTCACAAACCCCTGCTCTGCCATGAGTGAACTGTGCCAAGTTGATTACCATTACGGTTTCCAGCGGCTGCTGTTATAGTGCGGAAATGCCCGGTTGTGGTTCTTTCTAACCCAGTTGTGGTAGTGAGGGGTGGGGAAGGAAGGGTGCTACAGCCAAGTTGTCTGTCATGTAACTGTGGGATTTTTTCTTTTTCCCCTTTCCTACCTGGGTGGATTGGGGATTTTGCAGGAACATCATTTGATGATGCATGGCCTGGGGCCTGCACTGCAATACTTGTGCACGAACTGAGCAGGTTTTTTGAAAAAAAAAAAGAGAATTCTGGGATAGCTTGGGTGGGGGTAGACCAAAGAGTAAATGATTCTTTTAGATTGTTCTGTACGTAACCTATGAGAATGAAGACTTCTGCTATTAAACTAGCTATAGTTCCGGTAATCTTACAAAATAAAATCTCTTAAAACATGAATATTTGCAAAGCCCATGTATGATGGAACGCTCTCCACTGCACCAAATTTAGGGATGAACTCTCTTCCATCATCACAGTTGCAATGTCAAAGCCTATTTAAAACCAGTGAAAGCCAATAGCATACGTTATGTGCACACTGGGTGATACTTTATTGTGGCGGCTCGGCTAGTTACCCTCAGCAACCCTCTGTCTTTTAATGGAAACTGAATACTATTTGGATGAAATATGTCTGGAATTTTCGAAGATGTTTAAAGGAGTTGGACGCCCAACTCGCACTGAAATGGGAGTTTAGCTCCATCGTATTTTCCCGGTAAATAGCACTGCACTGGTTTTCACCACAAAGCTGCTGAGTTGTGCAACTGGTTTCACGAGAGGCTTAGAGCTTGGGATGAGATCAACGTTTCAAGCTTCAGGCTGAACGTAATGGCTTTTCTTGGCTTAGTTTTCAGCTTCTGAAATTTTGTTTAAATGTAACCCTTAGTGTAGGGGAAGCCTGTGTAATTGAGGCAGAATTATGAAACCCTGTGTACGCTTGTTTGGAGCATTCATTTAGGGCTAAGCCCTGCAATCCTTACTCAGGTTAAACTCTCTTTGATTTCAGTGCCTGGAGAGCAAGAGGCCTAACTATAGCACTGGCACCAGTTAGTAGGAGTATGTTTGAAAAGACTTGTAGGGAAATGTAGGGTGCATAGGCCCTTTGCTGGATAGAAAACTTGCTGCTGTCAAAACGGCTGCAGAGAACACCAGAGTGACGTTCAGCAGTGTCCTCTGATGAACCGTCTGGAGAAAGGACTAGGTGGTGACCAGACCTTGGGTAAGTAACATGGCAACAGTGGTCTGTGTGATGCTCTGCAGCAATTAAACATAAACACTGTTTCCCCCTGCCCCAATCCAAAACCTTCCTTGTCACTTACTAACCCTGGGGCATCTGTCCGATACAGCATTTGATTTGCAGGGAAGTTCTGATGTCTTCCAGGTGGATCGGCTAAGGTACAGGGAGGTGAAGAGGTAGCTAAGGTTGGAGCCCGACTGGCCTTTCAGGAATGTGAACCCAGTTCCATCATCTTCTCAGGAGCCATTTTGCTGGAATGTCGGGCAGCCAGTGACACTTGAGGAGCGGGGTGAGGCAGTGACTTTCACACAGGCCCCCTAAGAGTTGTCCAGTGGTGGTAACGTTCAGGCCCTTCCAATTTAACCTGATTTCAACAGCTCATCTTTTTAAGATCTGTTTTCATACACAGTGGATTGCGGGACTTCTTCTGTGAGAAGTGGAACTACACAAAAACCAGTGACTGCAGGTGAGTTTAGATTCAAAGATTCTCCGCAGCAAGTGGGCTGTGGAGGAAAGTACACGATACGCCTTTTAAAAGTGTTCTTCTCAAGGGAGGTTTGAACTGGGGGCGGTGGGGGGAGGGGAGGAAAAGGCAATAGATTTACATCTATTTCTATTTCAGGAAAATTCTAAATAGGATCAACTGTTAGCCTGTTTTGTAATGCTACTGTTTGAAGAGAGCAAGCGACTAGGAGCCAGGACTCCTGGCTCCTATTCCTGGCTCTGCAGAAATGGCTTGCTGAATAACCTACAACAAGCCGCTCAGCTCTCTGCGCCACTCTCTTCCGAGCTGTAAAATGGGAGTGATTCCGATGTATGTCATGGTGGATTTCAAGGCGTAGTATTATGTTTGACGTTTGATGAAAGGTGCTGTATAGAAGTAAACTGTTTTAATTTGTGTCAATAGTAGAAATGAGGGACACAACTGTTTTCCTATAGTGGTGGGCTCTTTAGATAATGTATAGTCTCATGTTTAAGAGAAGTTTCAGAGGAACAGCCGTGTTAGTCTGTATTCGCAAAAAGAAAAGGAGTACTTGTGGCACCTTAGAGACTAACCAATTTATTTGAGCATGAGCTCTGAAGTGAGCTGTGGCTCACGAAAGCTCATGCTCAAATAAATTGGTTAGTCTCTAAGGTGCCACAAATACTCCTTTTCTTTTTGTTTAAGAGAAGTTTCTAGTCATTTGCAGCAAACTTAGACAGTATATCAAGGATCAACATTTTCTGAACTTACTGCATTGTTAAATCAGATAAAACCATTCTCCACCATGTAATATTCAGATAGCAATTTCCAGGCCGTTGCTTTTTAACACTTAGTTGCAAAATACCCTTTGAACTTGGCTTTATGTACACCAGACTAATTTTAACACAGTACGTCTAGAATAACCCAGGGTGTTAGCACTAAGAAATATTTATTAAAAAATTAAAACATCTTAAATGATACCACTCACATCAAATGATCGATGTTCACATTATTTTGTTTTCTAAATGGGACTTGATTAAACAATAAATTATGACATGGAGCATCATGCCACTTTAGAAGAGGTTATTACGTATGTGCATATTTGAAAAGATATATATGCATAAGACATTATCACATCTCATTTTCACAATGTTGATTTTCAACAAGAAAGTACCACTGAACATTTCAGTGGGATAAGAACCTGCGTTCTACATCTTCCCAGAGTATCAGTATGTAGAATTTAGCAAAGTTTGACTGTTTTATTTTATTCTTATTTTTCAGTATACAGATTTAAACTAATGGGGCCTTTTTCTGCTTCAAAACATTCTTAGTCATAATTTAGTGTAGGGAAGAGTTTTGTCTGAATATAAGTAGGTACAATGTTGGTACAATTATAAGGAAGTGTAAAATTGTTCTCGAGGCACAGTGATAAGCAAAACATAAAAAATAATAATAAATATTACTTCAATGTCACAGAGGTACAAAACTAAACACTACATTTAAGTGTAATTCTTACAATTTGCTTTACATAACTCGTCGTTTGAACTGTTTCTTCAAATGCAATTTTAAAATGTTACCAAATACATACTAGTTTTCAAAAGTTTACCAAAAAAAAGCATGGTAAGAATCAATTTTGCTTAGATCAATTAGGAAAAAAGACAATTATGAATTGGTACTGTACAGGTAAAAAATATTTGGTCTGACTTTTTTTTTAAAAGGTGTTTCACAGTATCAAAAGTGCTTGTTTAAATTCAGCTTTCAAAATGAAACTGAAGTACTACAAAAGTGATTTAAAATAAGGTGTTGCATTTGTGATTATGAATAATTTAGTTCATGCAAATAAAAGAGTTACTGCATTTCAAAAAAAAATTGAACAGTGCTCAGTTTACATAATTTCTTTTCTCTTCAAACAATAAATATAAATAAATTTACAAATAGTAATACTGCCTAGCACAAGACTCAATGGAAGCACAATACACAGAAACTATTGTAACAAACCTAATCTTTCTTTTTCTTTTTTTAGCCTAAGATAAATGTCATTCCTAAAATTCCACTCCAGTGATCAGTTTAATAATTCAGCCCTACAACCGCCTTCACGTGGTCAGCTCCTAACCCTCCTTTTTTATTAAGCTCTAGATAAGAAAATTGTGGGTTTGATTTAAAAAAATTCTGCTTGAACCCTCCTTCCCACCCCGCCTCCGCAACAATACATTAAAGACAGTTACATCAGAAAGGTGTTGGCATTGCAAGTGTTTCCAGAAATGGCATGTGATCTCTGTTTGTTTGATGGCTGCAGTTATTTGGCTCTTTGAAAAAAAAGAAACAAACACATACGATCAGGTAGTTCTTGGAATCTCTGACTCGGTCCTGTGGGAGCAGTGAGCTGCTGCAGTGGTTCCTGTGTGTGTTGTGGTCAAATAGGATCTGCATGCCAGTCCTGCACACGACGTTAGTTCTGAGCATTGGATTACATTTAACCAGAATGTGACAAGTGTGTGAATTGTTCTAGTAAAGTTTTTCCTAACTGATGCACTCCATGCTCTGTTTTGTCAGCTTCCCGTTCTTGTATCACAACAGCCAAAATCCTTTTTGATCTCAGTGAAGATGAAGAGGGAGATGTGTTCTCAAACCCTGTGCTAGTACTGGCTTGATACATTTTGGCATCACACTGAGAGGTCTGGTAAATACCTTGCATGATGCAGGGGTCTGCAGAAGGAGCTGCTTTCTAGCTTTCAGATCATATCCCAAGGCCTCAAAGGGAATAGGCCTGTGACAAGTTACTTAGGTCCTCGCATGTGTGAATCTTAAAGCAGAGCAATGGGCTTGTTGCCTTGACCATTCATGTACTGTGATGAGGCTACATTATCCAGTGTGGCGTAAGTAGTGTAGAGGCCTGTGACCTGTAAGTCTGAGAAGGAATAATCACTGCCACTTGAGACAGGGGTGAGGCCAGCCGTGCCCAGGTCACAGTCTGAGAGCTGGAGAGGGGAGTTGCTGAAGGCACCTAAGGTATCTAGATTGAAGCTGTCGTCTTTCATTTCTTCCCATATATTTCCTTTAAAAGATGATAAATTCAGTCCCTTTACAGTTTTGACCTGCCGTGGGCTGGGGTCAAGGTGTACAATGGTCTTAAGAGTAACTGTTTAACTCTCTTAACTGAAAGATTTTAATTTCTACTCAGTCATACGATGACACTTGTGAGCAACTAGGGTTTTGGTATTTGTGGTACAAAGGCATTCAGAATAGCAGGAGTAATATAGGTTTAGCTGGCAGTCCACAGCTAACTTTCCTGTCCCTCCCCACCTGCTTAAAACGTATTCTTCACCCACGCTCATATTATTTATATAGCACTCTTCTCTCCTGCCGTGCTGCATGGACACGACCTAGCTAATCTTCACAACCACCCTGGCAGGGGGAGAAGTTCTCCTTTTAGCAGGTGAGGAAACTGAGGCACAGAGGCTGCAACTCGACCACGGCCACAGAGGAAGTCCTTGTCTGAGCTAGGATTAGCACTTGGGAGATCCTGTTCTAGGCAGGTTCTCAGACTTGGCCATGACCACGGTGCCTTTTTATGAACCATTAAGCTAACCCCCCACATATACTCCTGATCTTCACTGGACACTGTACCTCTGGGCTAAATTACACTGAAGCATGTACGGAAATTCACACACACACACCCCTCCCCTCCTCTCCCCTCCCCTCCAGCTTCTCCTTTACCTTGTAGTGCGAAATCCATGATGCTTGGATCAAGAGCATCCACTTCAGTGTTCATATCTGCTGTCACATTCAGGAAGTCTGCGGGTGCACGGCTCATTGGGTGGTGAGGAAGGGGACTCTGACTCATGTCAGGCAGAGTATGGAGAGGAGGCGTCTGGGCAGGTGCCGGTGAGTCCGGGGCTATGCGAGCCTGGGTCTGGAGCTGGTGATGCAGTGGTATGGACTGCAGAGAGAGCGTCATGGGCTGGGGCTGCAGCTTGGAGATGGAAATTCGGCCTTGGGCTGCTGCCATGTGGGTCAGTGTGGACACTTCGGATTCTGCCTGCTTACTAGGCCGCCTGCAGGTCTCAGGTCTGTCGGTGATTAGTTTATCTAATTCCTCTGTATAGAAAACAAGCAACTGAGCATACTTGCCTACCATCGTGTGAGCAGGGCTAATAGGTCCTGAGGCTGCTGAGGGTCTGCGATGCAGGCTTTGCTTTTTGGCAGTAAATAGGGACACACTGCAGAAATACAGTTCTGGAGCTGGACAGGTAGCTCTTGCCACCTCCACTCTTCCCTCCCTTCCATACACAGGTCTTGTCTTTGATGTCTTATGATCAGGCCAAGAAAACCCTGGCATGATATTTACCAGGGCAGGCCGGCTAACGCTCTTCAAACCACCTGGGGCAGACCTACAGTGAGCGCCTTGTTGATAGAGATTAGGAAATTTTAATCTGACTCAGGATTCACTTAACTTGTCTTTACATCTTAAGTATGTTTTTTTAGGACAGCCACATGACAGCTTCAATAATACTTTGTTTTTAAACTCTTCAGTCAAAAATAAAATGTTCTGTCATTCTGATCACACGTTCCAGACTTACCAGGGAAAGTCAGCTTTGGTTTCAGCCACGGCCATGCTAATACGATCTTAACAAATACACCGTTTGTATAAAAATGGGGAAATCCTTGGAGAATGAATAAAAATCTCAATAATTCTGCGGAACAGGCATGAAATGTGGTGTTTAAAATGCGGCGCGCGAAAGGACTGACCAGCAGAGGCAGCGGAAGTTGTCTAGAATGTCCAAAGACTTCAGATAAATCGACCAGACAAAAATGGGACAGAAGATAAAATCATCTTGGATCTGATCTGAGTCTGAAAGAGCCAGCATGCCCAATTAAGACGCGTGGTTACTGTCTCAAGATAAAACTGACTGGGGTACTTTGAGAAAACTGGAGTCAGGGCTTCGTATAGGTGTTGGTAATTTAACACCTTTCACCAGATGATCTCAAAGCATTGTACAGCATGAATTCCGCCTCCCTCCCACTCTGCTAGGTGGGAGGTGGCGCACCCGTTTTGCAGATGAGTAGTCTGAGGCCCAGGGAGCTGAAGTCTGGTTTGCCCAAAATCTCTCAGTGTTAGTGGCAAAGCTGGATATAAAAGCCAGGAGTTCTGGCTTTCATTGCCCAGCATTAATCACTAGACGACACTCACAGGAGAGGTGAGGGGAGTGATGATCAGACAGTGAAGGGCAGGGAGAGGCAGTAGGTGGGAACCTAAGTCAGTGCCTGGCAGGGTGAGTCAGGGCTGGAAAGATCAGAGGCAGGAGAATTTAGGAACCTCACCAAGCAAGCTTTGGATGAAGTGCTGAATCAAAAAATACATTAAAAAAAATTATCTGCCTCTTCTGCGCTGCCGCGACTCAGTTCTGATGCCAACGCTGACTATTTCACATGGAAGGCACTATTCCAGCAAACCCAGGCCTGCTTTTTGTGCTAGATTCAATGGCTGCATGTCTAGTTGTCAGCTGGTATCAAGTGGAGTGCCCCAAGGGTCAGTCCTGGGGCCGGTTTTGTTCAATATCTTCATAAATGATCTGGAGGATGGTGTGGATTGCACCCTCAGCAAGTTTGCAGATGACACTAAACTGGGAGGAGAGGTAAATACGCTGGAGGGTAGGGATAGGATACAGAGGGACCTAGACAAATTGGAGGATTGGGCCAAAAGAAATCTGATGAAGTTCAACAAGGACAAGTGCAGAGTCCTGCACTTAGGATGGAAGAATCCAACGCACCGCTACAGACTAGGGACCGAATGGCTAGGCAGCAGTTCTGCAGAAAAGGACCTAGGGGTTACAGTGGACAAGAAGCTGGATATGAGTCAACAGTGTGCCCTTGTTGCCAAGAAGGCCAATGGCATTTTGGGATGTATAAGTAGGGGCATTGCCAGCAGATCGAGGGACGTGATCGTTCCCCTCTATTCGACATTGGTGAGGCCTCATCCAGCGGAGGGCAACAAAAATGATTAGGGGACTGGAACACATGAGTTATGAGGAGAGGCTGAGGGAACTGGGGATGTTTAGTCTATGGAAGAGAAGAATGAGGGGGGATTTGATAGCTGCTTTCAACTACCTGAAAGGGGGTTCCAAAGAGGATGGCTCTAGACTGTTCTCAGTGGTAGCAGATGACAGAACAAGGAGTAATGGTCTCAAGTTGCAGTGGGGGAGATTTAGATTGGATATTAGGAAAAACTTTTTCACTAGGAGGGTGGTGAAACACTGGAATGCGTTACATAGGAAGGTGGTAGAATCTCCTTCCTTAGAAGTTTTTAAGATCAGGCTTGACAAAGCCCTGGCTCGGATGATTTAATTGGGGATCAGTCCTGCTTTGAGCAGGGGGTTGGACTAGATGACCTCCTGAGGTCCCTTCCAACCCTGATATTCTATGATTCTATGATTCCTGAGAAACCTGTTTGGTTTTAGGCCAATAATAAACACTCTTGGAGTGTGCCAGAAGAGCATGGTGCTTCCCTAATCACTCAGCTAGCCAAACCAACTTCCTTGGCAGCTGTCTCTTGTGGCATCTAGATAGACTTATTGTGTAGTGCTGGGGAGGAGCCGCTGGTCGTGGTACATGTAGGTACCAATGACCTAGGGAAGGGTAGGAGAGACGTCCTGGAGGCCAAATTTAGGCTGCTAGGAAAGAGACTGAAGTCCAGGACCTCCATGGTGGCATTCTCAGAAATGCTGCCAGTTCGACACGCAGGGCCAGGTAGGCAGGCTCTTCAGAGTCTCAATGCGTGGATGAGACGATGGTGTCGAGAGGAGGGGTTTAGATTTATTAGGAACTGGGGAAACTTTGGGGATGGGGGAGCCTATACAGGAAGGATGGGCTCCACCTAAACCGGAGTGGATCCAGGCTGCTGGCACTTCACATTACGAAGGTTGCAGAGCAGTTTTTAAACTAAGAGATGGGGGGGGGGGAGCCGATGGCTGCAGAGGCGCACGTGGATCAGCCAGAGACTTCTCTTAGAGGAGAGTCTATTGAGAGAGATTTGCTAGGTTTTAGTCAGGAGGAGGGGATGAAAGAGGATAAAGTATGGGCCAGATCAGACGAGAAACATTCACATAAAGAATCTGACACATCAGAAAAGGGCAGACAAATAAACAGTGACAAGTTTTTAAAGTGCTTGTACACAAATGCTAGAAGACTAAATAATAAGATGGGTGAACTAGAGTGCCTTGTGTTAAAGGAGGATATTGCTATAACAATGGGACACAATCATTCCAGGGTACAAAATCTATGGGAAGGCCAGAACAGGTCATGGGGATTGGGGAGGGGGAGCGGCACTGTATGTGAAAGAAAATGTGGAATCAAATGAAATAAAAATCTTAAATGAATCCACATGTTCCATAGAATCTCTATGGATAGTAATTCCAGGCTCTAATAAGAATATAACAGTAGGGATCTATTATTGACCACCTGATCAGGACAGTGATAGTGATGATGAAATGCTCAGGGAGATTAGAGAGGCTATCAAAATAAAAAACTCAATAATAGTGGGGGATTTCAATTATCCCCATATTGACTGGACACATGTCACCTCAGGACGAAATGCAGAGACAAAATTTCTCGATACTTTAAATGACTGCTTCTTGGAGCAGCTGGCACAAGAACCCACAAGGGGAGAGGCAATTTCAATCTAGTCCTGAGTGGAGCACAGGATCTGGTCCAAGAGGTAACTATAACAGGACTGCTTGGAAATAGTGACCATAATATAATAACATTTAACATTTCTGTGGTGGGCAGAACACTTCAACAGCCCAACACTGTGGCATTTAATTTGAGAAAGGGGAACTATGCAAAAATGAGGAGGTTAGTTAAACAGAAATTAAAAGGTACAGTGACTAGAGTGAAATCCCTGCAAGCTCCATGGATGCTTTTCAAAGACACCAATAATAGAGGCTCAACTTAAACACAGTAAAAGAACTAAAAAAGAGCCGTCTTTTGTAGGTGACAAATCTGAGGAATTGTCACAGATTGAAGTGTCACTAGAGGAGGTTTTGGAATTAATTGAGAAACTTAACAGTAACAAGTCACCGGGACCAGATGGCATTCACCCAAGAGTTCTGAAAGAACTCAAATGTGAAATTGCGGAACTATTAACTATGGTTTGTAACTGGTCCTTTAAATCAGCTACTGTACCCAATGACTGGAAGATAGCGAATGTAATGCCAATATTTAAGAAGGGCTCTAGAGGTGATTAGACCGGTAAGTCTAAAGTCAGTACCAGGCAAATTAGTTGAGAATATAGTAAAGAATAAAATGGTCAGACACACAGAAGAACATAAATTGTGAAAAAGTCAACATGGTTTCTGTAAAGGGAGATCATGTCTTACTAATCTATTAGAGTTCTTTGAGGGGGTCAAAAAACATGTGGACAAGGGGGATCCAGTGGACATAGGGTACTTAGATTTCCAGAAAGCCTTTGACAAGGTCCCTCACCAAAGGCTCTTACATAAATTAAGTTGTCATGGGATAAGAGGGAAGATCCTTTCATGGATTGAGAACTGGTTAAAAGACAGGGAACAAAGGGTAGGAATAAATGGTAAATTTTTAGAACGGAGAGGGGTAACTAGTGGAGTTCCCCAAGGGTCAGTCTTAGGACTAGTCCTATTCAACTTATTCATAAATGATCTGGAGAAAGGGGTAAACAGTGAGGTGGCAAGGTTTGCAGATGATACTAAACTGCTCAAGATAGTTAAGACCAAAGCAGACTGTGAAGAACTTCAAAAAGATCTCACAAAACTAAGTGATTGGGCAACAAAATGGCAAATGAAATTGTAGATAAATGTAAAGTAATGCACAATGGAAAAAATAACCCAAACAAAACATACAGTATGATGGGGGCTAATTCAGCTACAACTAATCAGGAGAAAGATCTTGGAGTCATCGTGGATAGTTCACTGAATACGTCCATGCAGTGTGCAGCGACAGTCAAAAAAGCAAACGGGATGTTAGGAATCATTAAAAAAGGGATAGAGAATATGATGGAGAATATCTTATTGCCCTTATATAAATCCATGGTACGCCCACATCTTGAATACTGTGGACAGATGTGGTCTCCTCATCTCAAAAAATATATGCTGGCATTAGAAAAGGTTCAGAAAAGGGCAACTAAAATTATTATTAGTTTAGAACGGGTCCCATATGAGGAGAGATTAAAGAGGTGTGGAGAAAGTGAATAAGGAAAAGTTATTTACTTGTTCCCATAATATAAGAACTAGGGGCCACCAAATGAAATTAATGGGCAGCAGGTTTAAAACAAATAAAAGGAAGTTCTTCTTCACTCAGCGCACAGTCAACCTGTGGAACTCCTTGCCTGAGGAGGTTGTGAAGGCTAGGACTATAACAGGGTTTAAAAGAGAACTAGATAAATTCCTGGAGGTTAAATCCATCAATGGCTATTAGCCAGGATGGCTAAGGAATGGTGTCCCTAGCCTCTGTTTGTCAGGGGGTGGAGATGGATGGCAGGAGAGAGATCACTTGATCATTACCTGTTAGTTTCACTCCCTCTGGGGCACCTGGCATTGGCCACTGTTGGTAGACAGGATATTGGTCTGTATGGACCTTTGGTCTGACACCATATGGCCATTCTTATGTTCTTATGTCTACACGCAATGAGCCCCACAGGGCGACCCTGTCCTCTGAAACACTTTCCCTCCTTTCCCAAGCCCTGCTCTGTATAACAATTTATGTTCGACTGGCCAAACCATCTCGTTTACTGTGACTCTTCTACACAGCAAGCGGGCAAAGCCCAATGCCAGTCTACCTGGATTGGCCATGCTCCTGTGAATAGCGGCCAAGTCCTTCCTCTTCCATTTCTGCATCTCTTCTTCCATCTTGTCGATCTTGGCAGGGCTGAGGGCCCACAGGCAGCCTTTGCGCGAGGTGCCACTCATTTTATTCTCCACTTTCTCAAAGCACTTGTTCAGGGAGAGGTTGTGGCGCACGGAGTTCTTCCAACCATCGGGCGCTGTCTGGAGGGCAGAAGGTTGTTATTCGAATAAGCTGCTGCAGTGAGGAGAGCCGTCGGGTGGATGGACTGTGAATTCTCCATGGGAGACTCTCACAGGCCACGCGGATCATAACAACCTGCCCACCCACGTAGCAATGCAAGCAGCTTTCAGCATATCACACTCAGCCTCCTTTTGCTCACGTTTTTAGTACGTCACAAGGCTCTGGGCTGCACTAGCTTCCAAGCACAGCTCAAGGCATTGGTGTCAACCTAAATAAAGCAGTTTGGGTCTGATTCATCTCTGAGACAGCCCCTCTCCCTAGGCACTTTGCCCTTCTGCCAGGTGCTCTCAGCTGATGCTGTGCTGTTGACCAGCTAGACGTGCTCTGTGGAGGCTGGAGGCAGCAGGGTATTTTCAGGGGTGGACAACTGGCTGTGGAACTTGTTACATGTATGGGTCTGCCCAAGGCAGAGTTTGTGGAACTGGACACCAGTTGCTTGAGGGTAGGGGGGAGATATCAGCCCTTAGATGTCACAGCAATAGGCCTCGTGTAAAAACCTAGGAAGTTCTGAGCGAGGCTCCAAGGCTACCAGGGATGGCGTTTCTTGAGGCCACCTTTTCTCAGGGTGTTCTTGCTTTGGGGGACAGCCCAAGGAGGGGATTAGGGGGGATGAGGTCATGGTGCCATATATTGTGGCCCAGGCCGTTTTCTCTGTTTATGCCCAGTGGCCTATGCATAAATAGCCTGCTCCCCTAGACACAGTGTGACTCCAGAATTAAAATGCAGTCAGGGTAAAGGCAGGGGAGATGCGTGGGTGTCTGGGGTGGTTGGTTTTGGTACACGGTGTTTTGAGATGCTACTGATCGAATGCACTGGCAAGTGGCTAGGCCTGTTTTGTTCCCTTCAGTCATAAAAGCTTATTGATTCCTTACCTTGAAGTAGGGGAAATGCTCCTTCATGAAGCTGTAGATCTCGCTCACTGGGAGGCTGCCCGTTTTACTGTTCTTTAATGCCATTGCAATCAAGCAGCTGAAAGAAAGAGAGAGAAGATAAAAGCCAGTTCCCTCTTCAGACTGTGCTGGCCCATAATATCCTCCTCTTTACCTAGCAACCTGACAGCCACCTTTGCCCAGACACACGTGCCCGTGTGAACAGTCACTTCCCACTGCACTTGGGGTCTCATCAGCTCTACAGTAACGTTACCCAGCTTCCGTGTTTAAGGGTCCAAAAAAGATAATGAAATCTTGGGAACCAAGCTCTTTGGCGCTGTTACACCACCTCTGTTCTGCTGGAAGGGGATTAACTTGTCAATGTCTTTCCACTATTATTAACTATGCTAGCAACCTGGACAGAACAGCACAGTGCTGTGGGAGGAGTGATGCAGATTTGCCTCTCCGGAGAAGGCTTCTGTCAAGATCATGGGAAAAGTAAATGACTTTTATGCTAGGAAAGGAAACGGATGCTTTTGCTGTGCCAAGTATGATACATTTATAACCATGCCAAATGCAGGCTGGGAGCAATATCCCAGCTTGTCCTCCACTCACCTGTAGGAGTAGATTGGCTTGGGATAATGTTTTGGATGGACTTCCTGAGCAGTGTGAGGGGCAAGGCGAGGTTGAGAATATTGAGGATGGGGTCCATAGGATGCATTGTATATTGCAGCTGGGTTACACTGTATTCAGAAGAAAGAGGGAAAACTGTCAGAAGATTCAGCTTTCCCCATTCTGCCCGCCCACACACACACCATGTGTTATTTCTGGCTTTGTACTGATGAGACACGAAAGCTCCCTGGAAAAGATCACATTCCAGACAGTACGGGTGCAACAGAAAGACTTCCCAGAACAGGCTCCTGTGCTCTGAAGAGACAGGAGATTCTAACCAATCCCACAGTTGGTGAGGCCAAGTGTGGACTAAAGGACATGGAGAGTTTACAGCAAATTCCATTCTTTCTCATAATGAAACTCCTCTCCCCTCCCCTCACCGTGCAACCCCCCCTCCCTTTTTGCAAGGGGAGGCACTTCCTATGCCGTTTAGACTCTAATTGATTCAGACACCAAATTACAGGACATCATTAAAATGAACATACCAAAAGCTACCCAGTTCCGGTTCACTATACAGTAGCACACAAGGCTCTTGCTCATCCGAATGCTATTATCAAATAATTTGTTTGTAATTTGTGACATTGTCACAGCTCCATCCCAGGCTGTCCCTACCCATCTCAGGTCCATCACATTTTTGAGCAATCTGGCATTGGTAAAATACTGGCCTGAAGCTCTGGAGACTGACTAAAGTGGGATTTTGTTTTTTTTAAATATCCACAGTAGAAGAACTATGTGGGCTGTGTGGTGCAGTCTGTTCCTGGCGGCAAAGCAGACCTGAGCTGAGGAGAGGGATGGAACGAGAGCAGCTCTGTCTCTGTTTCCACTCCGTCCTTGGCCTCTCGGAGTGTCACGGGGGGAGAGGGCCGTGATGGAATTCTCCCCAAAAGCTGCAGCTATGGACTGGAGGGGTACTCTTCCAGACCCTGGGCATTGCTGTTTCAGTGAGCAGAGTCATCAAGAAGCCGGCTGAGGGTGGGTAAAATGACACACGGATAGAATGTTTTCTTCCAATTTTGGGGGGATTGTGTAGTGACAACTTAGTTGGAATAAGCAGCTGATTACTGGTTCTTGAAAGGGAACACTCCCAATCCCGAGTTTCTATGGCACATCACCAGTGGTAGGGAAGGCAGTGGTGTTTTTCCTCCTGAAGGGTTCCTAGAATTGGCATTTTAGAACCTGTCTCTCAAAGGCACATGCACAGAGATTAGGTTAGGGGGATTCAAGGTGATTTTAGCTCGGCTGTTCACTTTGGTGTAGAATATCTGTAGGTCTGTGTAAGAGCCTGCAAATCCGATCTGTACAGCTACTCTGAGACGCAGGCTGCATGGCAAATAATAGTACCTGTTGCACATTCTGTGCTATGGCAAACACTTGCTGTGAAGGAGGAGCAGGGAAAAGCAAGTGCTGTGACTGTAAACTAGGAGATGGTTGCCCTCCGACTGTGTACTGGCTCATCTATTGGGATGAAAAGACAGAAGTGTTGGTCCTATAGTCAAACATCTTTCCTTGGCAAACATTGCAATGACAATTAACCCGCTCAGGTCAGCTCTTACGTTTGCTCCATGCGGTGTAACAGTATTCAGTCCCAGAATTCCCTGTGGCAGACTGGCCTGCACCTGAATCAGTGCTCCTGGAGCACCTGCTGAATGCATATTACCTGGCACGGGACCTATTCATGAAAAAGCACAAAGGCTAAATTAAAATCCTTGCCCCAAAAGGTTGTACAGTCTAATGGCATAAATTGCTCCATAAAGTGAACACAAATAAGTGTGTTTGCTGAAGTAATGTTAAGACTAAGGAGAAGTTTGGTGACCATTAACTGAGAGGCTGTATGAAGCGCACAGCTGCAGGGTTGGTAAGTTATTCTCATTTTAGTGATGTTGAAACAAAGGCACAGAGATAAATGACTATTTCCAGAGGTACTGAGAAAGTTCTGAGAATGAAGTCCTTGCACCAAGATCACACAAGGAGGCTGAGCTGGGCATAAAAGTCAAGTCCAGACTCTTTGATCTTTGTTCTAACCCCTAGTACGCAGTGCCCCTTTAAAAAAAAAATAAATCAAAAAATATAGGGTATATCTCTTGTAACAAAAGGCAACAGGATGTAGAGAGCTAGATCTAATGTACTTACTGTGAAAAGTTACAAACAAGAAAGCTTGTTACAGGGAGTTTTGTCTCTCTTTATTATTATTATTTGTCAGTTAACAGCAGGGCAAGTTACCTGTCTGCTGCAGCATCGACTCTTGAGAGCTGATGCTGAAGTCCATTCTTCCACTAGCCATCTGTTGTAAGCGAGGAACATCAACAGAGGTCAACCACGACAAGGACTGCAAATCGCTTGGAAGGTCATCTTCACTCAACTGAGATGGGGTGGAAGCCAAGAGTCTGCAGGGAACAAGGTGGGAGGTTACCAAAGAGCACAAAGATTCTGCTAGATTGTCTGTGGGTAAGACGGATGTCTGGGCGGCCCAGCCTAATGCAAGTTAACAGTAGACATGGGTCCGAGTTACAAAGTTGGGATGTTTCAGAGTAGCAGCCATGTTAGTCTGTATTTGCAAAAAGAAAAGGAGGACTTGTGGCACCTTAGAGACTAACAAATTTATTTGAGCATAAGCTTTCCTGAGCTACAGCTCACTTCATCGGATGCATGAAAGTTGGGATGTGGATCCAAAGCTCAAGATGTGAATTTTTTGTTCAGGCACATCTCCCATTCATAATGCCTCCGTGTGTTCCTTTGTAAGAGAGGTAACATTTTATTTAGCAGGCATTGAAGTGTTTCTGTTTTGAACCAGGACCAATTTAGGAGACTGTTCTGTCGAGATCTCCCTGCATCGTGGTCAGCTGAACATTATGAGAAGTATGAGAGAGAGAGAGAGAGAGAGAAGGGCATTAGCACAGCGGTGCTGTACTCCAAGTGCTGCTGGCGTTTCCATCTGAAATGCGGCTTTTCAGAGGTTGAAGTGGCTCTCAACGTGCAGCCCGTGCTGTAAACATTCAGTTATCGCACCAAACAGGTGTGCACTAGGAGCACTTGTTGCCTCAGGCAAAGGTCCAGTTTGGCATGCTAAAAGAAAAATACTTGAATTTAAAATAACCCACACAGAACACTGGTAATGGAAAATTGACTGCAGTGGGACTATTCCTGTGCCCAGTGCTTGCTTAAGGCTTTTTAGAATTGGAACCTAAGTACTGAACAGGAGTGACTGTTTTGTACTTATCTCAAAAATTACTTTAAAACGGTGTGGGGGGGGGCCTTTGAAGCAGTAGATTATTAATATTCTAACCACTCTGACAGGTTTCAGAGTAACAGCCGTGTTAGTCTGTATTCGCAAAAAGAAAAGGAGTACTTGTGGCACCTTGGAGACTAACCAATTTATTTGAGCATAAGCTTTCGTGAGCTACAGCTCACTTCATCGGATGCATACCGTGGAAACTGCAGCAGACTTGATCTCTGTGTGTATATAAAGTCTGCTGCAGTTTCCACGGTATGCATCCGATGAAGTGAGCTGTAGCTCACGAAAGCTCATGCTCAAATAAATTGGTTAGTCTCTAAGATGCCACAAGTCCTCCTGTTCTTTTAACCACTCTGAGAAACTTAAAAAAAAAATCTGTTAACACAAGATCTTTAAAGGGTCTCTGTCCATTTCCAGATGGACACTGCTAGGGCAACTTCAGCTGAGAATAAGATTTTGTAAAAACAAGTTTTTTTTTATGGAACTGTTTCCATGATCTTTATTTTAATTCCAAATCCACATTCCTCTGCAGCATCTCAAAACCAAACAGTGCAGCACTGTGCTAGTGTATGAGAACCAGGAAGGGAAACTGGATTCAGGTTATAACAAAAATTCAGATCTAGCCCTTCCTTAAATAGAACCTAGGAGGGCTTCAGAAACCAGCATATTGCAATCTTCACTATAAAGCAAAATCTGTAGATTGTGGGATGAACTGCAGATCTCCTCCATTCGGTCCTTGGTGAGATCGAATGGAATTATACCCAACTTAATTTTTTAAAACCACCTCCGATGTGCTAAATCTTCAGATTGTAAGAGTTTATGACCATAAATGCAGACTATCTTAATTGATAAAGTCAATGGAAAACCGGGCCAGACTTCTCTTGGTGAAAAGTTCCATTTAGAAATCGGCACATTTTGCCCTGCTTGCACAGGCTGTGCTCTTAGAAAGAGATGATCAACTTTGTATTACTTCTGATAAAGAAATCACTGCATAAAAAGCAAAAACAAACACATTTACATGGAGGGCCAAACTGCAAACGTTCTTACTCAATTCAAAGCTGCCACTGAAGTCAGTGAGTTACAACGATTACAAGTGGGTGTCCAGAGGGAGAGAGAGTTACTCATGTTGAATTGTGCTGAGAAAGTCGGGCACCACTTCACGTAAGGAAGGGGGATATCTCTACATAGCCCTGAGTACGGACTGCACAGATCAGCCGTTGAAAACGTTTCTATTTTGGAAGGACACAGGTTAGCCTGAGACTGTAGATTCTCTTTTTAAAACACCCTAACTGAAAATGTTCTCCAGTCAACTAGTGACCTTTTAAAAAGCCAGGTGCACGGCACTAATGTGTGTCCATTGTCAAATGGTGAGACACAGGCAGTCAATACATCATATTTCTGCTGAAGCATCTTGTACGTTTTACATGAGTCTAAATCAGCTTAACATAAAATGCAAAAACAGCAGTGTGTTGCAGCCCAAAAGGCTATTGAGATTTTAGCTTTTTCTAGTCAAGATTTTCAGTAGTTCAAAAGTTCCCCAAACTCCACTACCCAGTAGATCTCTAAGGCAGAACTTTATTTGTTTGCACAAAGATTTTAAAATACAAAACAAGCAGAAGCCAAAGCTCAAATCCTGGCCAAAAACGTCTTCAAATCCTCCTCCGAGGCTACCCTGGTTTCTTTCTCCTACTGTAGTTATAGTGCAATAATTAGCATTGCCATGGTTACCACTGTTCAGTTATTTTGTGAGGCCTGGGACTTAAATGCATAAAAAGAACATCAGGTGACCACTCTCCCTACTTAGCGATTGGCTGGGTTGTAAGTAAACAAGAGCATTAAATGATTTGAAAACTGGGCAGGCTCATGTCGTTTGCAACAGTTGGACCCGTTCATTGTAAGCCGATAACCCATTGTGTTGCAAACGACTGTTGCCCAGTGGCACGTGGCCTCCATTGTTTTTGGCATTCTTGCTTAATTGTTTTTTTCCCTCCTCCTTTTTACAAACTTCACATTAATCTGGCTGAATGACAGCCAACACACAACACACACACAGACACACACATGCCATCTGGCACCCTGGTCCCTGCCAGTCCTTCCAAACAAGTCAGCTCCTTCAACAAATAATGGGGTCAGATGGGCGGTGAGGGTCAAAACCCACTGCACACGCCTCCTGTCAGGAAATGAATCTGCCACATGCCCTCTCTCCACTCCACAGCATAGGCTAAACAGCTCCAAATAGGAGGACCACAGAAGCCATATTTGCACAATAACCTTTCTACGTTTATCTATTTGGAAAACTGATGAATTCCTTTGCTTTATCTTAATGTTAAGTGGATCCATCCAGCTCTTTCTAGAAGCCTAAATGATTAGTAATCCACTTTGTGTGGTTAGATGTTGTCAGAAACCTTAACTGCAAACAGCCTGAATAGGGTGCTGTCTGAACAGTAGGAAGCTCAAGATTCTCCTACTTCCTAGTATAACCTGAAGCACATCTTTCCTTTTACACAGCATCCTTATTCCACAACATCGCAGAACAGCGTGCAGACAGTGTACTGGACATAAGCATGGACCTCTTCTAACAGAGACAGGGAGGGGCATAGAGGCCATATTTTAAAGATAATATATCAGTCACTATGCCCCATTTTAAACCAGATACAAGGGTACAGTGAAATAGAGTGCCCCGATCCATTTGTAAAACAAATTTTAGCCCCCTCCATCCTAGCATAGGCTTCTAGTCTGCATTTGACTTTGTACTTCCCATCAAAACAAAACAGACCTTTGTTTTGTTCAATTAAACAGCTTTGATGTATTCTCTTACAACTATTTTTTTAAAATAGACTGACAAGTACTCTAACAAATGTTAATAGTTTGTAGTAAAATTGTAGAATCTAAGCAGGTTACCAAAAATGCATGTGGCATAAAGGGATTATTCTTTGAGTTGTCTTCAAAACAAACATAAATTTCAGCAGTGGTGACTTCAAGTCACTTCTATACTTCCCATTTCACAGTAACCCGATCCAGGCAATGAGAGCTCAGATCTTTTACAAAGATTTACACAGGGAGAGCTGTCCCATAGCTGGGTTTTGTAAATGTACAAATATACTAGGCAATATAAATTCAACTCTTCTAACGGTAGATGGGTTCTGGGTGTGTCTTTGACTCTTAGGGGAAAAAATGCAAATCAAACCATCTGCTTTAGTTAAACCATGCATAGTAGTAGCTAGCTGGCAATTTATCTACTCATGGAGTTCAACCTTCTTCCACCTGTGTAATCCCCTCCCCACCCCCCAATGTACAACTACATAGATATAACTCGCATACAAAACTATCTGTTTTGTAGATCTCCATTGTATCCTTCTTCTCTTTTTTGTCTTAAATTAATGGTAAACGCTTGGAGGCAGGGCCCATGTCTTCCTGTGTGTTTGTACAGCCCCAGGTATGTGTGGCTCAGATTAATTTAAATACCGATGGAGTCTATCTAACACATACTTACTGAAAATGTCTAAGGAGTCTGTCTGCTTGCTTGCTGAGAAGCCCTCCATTTTTGGAAAGCAGTTTCTGTTCAAGATGGCGGCTGTTGCCGAGGGAGCACGCTGTGCTCTCTCCTGGAGACTTTACGGGTGTTCTTTTTTGTCTGTACTGCCCTAACGCTGTATAAAGGCAGCCTGGCTTGTAAGCAAACTGCTCAGGCTGAGGATATTAAGCTCAGATTTGAAGGTTAGGGATGGTCTAGGAAAGTGGTAAATTCTTAGGCAGCCGTTCTCAAACATTTTGTCAGTGTAGGTGGCAGTATCATAGAGGCTCTCATGGAAACCTCCACTCACACTGTGGTGACAAAGAGAACTTCCCTTCTCGTCTGTGATTGCAAACATCCCTTAGGCAGTTGCACCAATTGCTTACATATTTTTAGCTGTCTCCAATGCAGGAAATGTTCTGTCATTTAAAAATGGAGTGAATTAGTCACACTGTCTATTTTTGCCCCTCACTTTATTGGTTCTGTTCTTCTTTCCCCTTTTCCTCCTTTGCCCCTGCAAATGCTTCCTTGCCACTTGATTCCCATCTCCCATGTAGCACAAGCACCTCTCTCTGTCTCCACAGTTCCTTTGGAAGTTCCTCTCCTGCTAATGGCTGGCTTGGGTCTCTGCCAACAAA